TTTTTATTTATTTTACTTTTTTATTCTTTTTGATTTTAGTTTAACTTTTTATTTTCTTTTTTTTAACTTTATTGCTGGGAGCAATAGGCAACCTGCTATTGGATATTTAAAATTGCAATAGCCAATAGCTGGCTGGCTTTTGCACCCATCCACTGCCTGCTGTCAATCAGTAGAGGAGGGACCTGAAGAAGAAAGTTCTCCATCAAGTCCTCCTCTACTGATTGACAGCAGGCAGTGGGTGGGTGCAATTGCCAGCCTGCTATTGGCTATTGCATTGTAAAATATCCTATAGGCTGGGTATGGTTTCCAGCCTCTAGATGCAGAAGAGGAACGGGGCGGCAGCAGAGGCACGGGGACGGGGCAGAGGAGGAACAGCGCGTGGCAGGTGAGGAATGGGGCACGGCTGAGGAGGAACAGGCCGGGCCAGGGGAGACACGAGGCAGCAGCAGAGGCATGGGGGGTAGAGAAGGACCAGGGCAGCAGCGAAGGTACGGGGGGCAGTTGGGGAATGCAGGCACAGCGGTTTCTCCTCCCCACTGGTGCCAGCTGCAGTGGTCTGTGTCCCCGCTGTCGATACAGGAGGGAAGAGCAGCATGGATTGAAAGGGACACAGAACGCTGTAGCCAGCACTAGCAGGGAGGCGAACGGAGGAGCAGAGTGGCGGCAGCAACTAATCGTAAAGCAACTAATCGATGATGAGAATCGTTGCCAACAATTGTCTTCGATTATAATTTATTTAATCAATTAGTTGTTGCAGCCCTAGTCGAGGGCATGCACTGCTGTTCTGAGACTGCATCTGCAGGTCTATTTTTGAAGCACATTTGTATTACGTATGTATATGGTTTTGTACTAAGGGTACCATCTTGCAACATATTGTTTGTTGGTATTCTTTGTTGTCCCTCCTGAGGAAGCTTGATTATGAAACGAGTTTAGAATTAAGATCTATGCTGAACTATATCTTCAATATCTTGAACATTTGGGAAGAAACAATCTATTGGATAATATGGACCAACATCAGATATAGTTCATGGTCCTGGGCAGGTTATGTATACACTCTGGGCACCTTTTTTACTCCAGGTTTTATGCAATGTTTGTTATAGTTTGTTTTTTACATTTTGGAGCCAATAAATATAAAATAATTTTATGAGTAACATGGTTTTCATATCTAGTTCATGAGCATCAATTAAAAGCCCCATTCTATATACTATTTGGGTAATTGACCCCAAAAAGCTTGGCGAATTGTTAATTGATCTCAGAGGTGTGATTCTCTTGACCCACACACTAAGCCACTTCAATATTTTATTTTAACACCTTCCAGTCTGTAATCATGCTTTCATCAGAGCACAGAGAGGCATGAGATGTATATCTATCCTCTTCCAGCTGTGATATGTTTTGCTGTAAGTATCAAAGGTTAGCTTGCCATAAGAACAAACTTCTGTCTGATTTTGTTT